TTGCAGGGGTTTAGCTGCACCCCCTTAGCTCAGGAGAGATGCCTGGATCCCCCTGGACTCAGGACAAAGCTCCTCATTGCTGGGGGTGGCACCTTTGTGGGGCCGGTGGAGGCTCTCGGAGCCTGGGGCCACCAGGAGCAGCAGCCAACTTGCCCAGCCTGGCCAGTCCAGGAGCACCTGCCTGCCCAGGGGACAGGCTGGGCATGGGGGGACTCGGCTCCCTCCCCACTCCCTGTCCCCCTCCTCAGTGGGTGGCGTGGGGCACGTCCCCTCCTCAGGAGCTGAGGGGTCCCACCAGCTCCTGGCCACCTCGCCAGCAGGGCGGGCAGACCCGCCTGGGGCAGGGTGGGTGGTTGGGGTGCTGCTGTCTGCTGGGGCAGGGGGTGATGGCATCTCCTGTGCTTCCCCCTAGGACCTACTGTGCCTACGTGGTGCAGCGCAACGTGACGTGCACGCTGCAGGATGGGGCTGAGAGCTACGTCAAGGCTGAGTACCACAAGTGCAGCTGGGGACCCAAGTGCCCAGGGAAAGTGCTGTGAGTATGGGGGACAGAGTGGATTTCCCCCCCCCTCAGATTCAGGGTGCAGCTCTCCTCAGGCTCCCGAGCCCCTGTGCTGCCTTTCTGACCATGAAAGGCACTTTGCAGAGGGCAGGGAAAGGGGCTGAGGGTGTTTTCCTGGCTGGCACAGTCACTGGCAGGGCAGCGGTGCTGGGAGGAGGCAAGATGGGATCTGGCAAGAGGGAGAAGAAATCATAAAGTCATAGAATCACTGTGGTTGGAAAGGACCTCCAGGATCATCATGTCCAGCCTTCCTCCCAGCATCTCCCTAACCACTAGATCACAGCCTCAAGTGCTGCATCTACTCGTTTTTTGAACCCCTCCAGGGTGATGACTCCACCACCTCCCTGGGCAGCCCCTTCCAGGGCCTGACCACTCTCTCAGGGAAGAAATTCTTCCCAATATCCAATCGAATCCTCCCCTGCTGCAACTTGAGGCCATTTCCTCTTGTCCTATCATCAGTAATTTGGGAGAACAAACCCACACCAGCCTCACTCCAACCTCCTTTTAGGTAGCTGTAGAGAGCAATAAGGTCACCTCTCAGTCTCCTCTTCTCCAGACTGAACACCCCCAGTTCCCTCAGCCAGGCTCCCTAAGGCATGTTTTCCACCCCTCTCACCAGCCTTGTTGCCCTTCTCTGAACCTACTCCAGCACCTCCATGTCCTTTAGGAGCTTCAAAGGAGCTTCATCCCTCATCAGAAATAAATGAGGAAGCCACAGGCAGCCCTCCTGTGGCACCACCCCAGGATGTTGCAGCCAGCTGGGACATGGGTGCCCCAGGAAGCCTCTCCCAGCAGGGAAGGGCTGTGCCATCCCCTCGCCCATGGTTCTTTCCTTCCTCCCATCACAAGTGCTTTAGCAGCTTTTGGGTGCTACAGGACATCCTGCTGTTGGTGGTACCCATGGAGGAGATCCCCAAAGCCTCTCCCAGCTCTGTGGTGTCCAATCCTCAGCCCCTTCAGGCAAAATCCAGGAGGGTTCTGGATGCAGCTGGACCTGCAGCTGAACTTTCTGCCCAGCCTCAGATGCTGCATCCATGCACGAGAGGGAAACTTGTTTCTTCCACGTGCTGGGGCCATCAGATGATGGTTGTGCAACTGCAAAAACTATTTTGCCTTGGGGAAGCAGGAGGAGAAGAGTTTGGAGAGGCCAGAGGGCTCTGGGCTCCTCTGCAGAGGCTGGTGTGACACAGAGAAGGTGTCCTGCTTTTTACCCCACGAGGAATTCTCTGTGTCAATTCAAAGTGCAGAACACACCCCCAGGCAGCACAAACCCCTCCTGGATGTGATCCGAGCTCACAGGGGTTTTGGAGTCACTTCCCTCATTTCATCCTGTGCTCACCTGGGCCAAAAGTTGCCAGACTGTGTGGCATCTGTCACAGTGGTCATCTGTTGGGCCAGAGACCAAAGCAACACGCTCAGAGCTGCTTTTCTTAGCTAACAGTGGGAGTCCCAGGTTAAAAAGAAAAACAAACCCAACAAGAAATATCTCCAGAAACCACAGAGCCATAAATAATGGCTCTGCTCAGATAGCCCCTCCTTACCACCAGCCTGTTTCTCAGGCTTATCTCGTGTCACCAACGTTTTGGGGATCTCTTCTCTCACCATGCACCTCGTGGTCCAGCCCTGGAGAGGTTTCTGGAGTGCTGGTTTGTGGGCTGTGTCCCTGGGTGGACACTACTGCTCCACTGAGCTGTGGGGCACCAAGAGCTCTTGCAGGAGGTGGGTCACGGGCTGTAGGTACAGCACGTGGGGCTGAGCCAGGGGGATTTCCCACCCCCAGACAGGACCCGTGACCCCACTTTTTATTGCTGGATGTTGAGATGGCTTCTCTAAACTGTTTTCCTCCTTCCTCCCCTCTCCTGGAAAGGTACCACACCTTCTTCAGGCCCAGGTACAAGATTGGCTACAGGACGGTGACGGAGCTGGCCTGGAGGTGCTGCCCAGGCTTCATGGGAGAAGGGTGCCACGACAGCCCCACCGACCAGCCCGGCCTCCTGCCCCAGCACCCCAGCCCCAAAATGCCTCCTGGACAAAAGATGTTTCCTCTCCCCAGGCTTCCTCCCTATCCAAAAAGCCACCCTGACCTGTTTCCAGGACCAAAGAAGAATCAATATGGTGAGATCCTGTTCCTCACCCCCCCACCCCACCAGCACGCTCTCAAACCTCCCCATTCTTTCTGTTCCAGCACAGGGCATGAATTTGGCAAACCTTCAGTGGCTGATGGGTTTCCTAATCAGAGACCTGACAGTTGATTGCTTTGAGAGTCACTTGCTTTTTAAATCTAGTTTCTTTCAAAACACGCTGCTTCGAAATTGCCTTTTCCTCATTACTTTAAAACATTTTTCCATTAATTTGGGGGCCAACAGAGTGTTTCTCGAGACAAAACTCCCCTGGGCTGTTCTCATCACCTGCTGTTGAGCTTGGGAGCAGAGGGCTTGATCCCCAGAAGAAGGAGGATTTCTTGATCAGCTTTAGAGGAAATGTAGAGGAAAGGAGGAGGGGTGGTCTGATAGCTCACTGGACTGGCAGTAAGAGGGAGGCAGGAGCTAATTTAAACAGGGGGGACGGATGCTCCATCACTGGCTGTATTCAAGACCAGGTTGGATGAAGCTGTGAGCAACCTGGTCTAGTGGGAGGTGTCCCTGTCCATGGCAGGGGGTGTTGGAATGAGATGATCTTTAAGGTCCTTTCCAACCCAAACCATTCTGTGATTCCATGATAACGTTCACTGGTATGGGAAAGGACTGAAATCTAGAAGACAGCCGAGAAAATCTGAAAGGCCGGCGGAGGAGGGGAGTGGAAGGAGGGGAGGGGAGGCACCAGCCCTGACCCTGCCCTCTCCCTTCCTTCCCCCGTGCAGGCAGGAAGCTGCCCGGCCTCTTTGGGGACCGCCTGGACCGGCTGGAGGAGGAGGTGAGGCGCCTGTCCCAGTCCTACGAGAGCCTGCAGGCCCTGGTGAGCGGCCTGGGGGACCGCCTGCGCCTGGCCGTGCAGGAGGACACCACCAAGATGCTGGGCTCCC